GCTTGTAGTATAGTTGGGTAACATGATTCTTCCAGCTTGGTTCTTTTTGCTTAGGATTGCCTTGGCTACCCAGGCTCTTTTTTGGTTCCATATAAATGTTAAAATAATTTTTTCTAGTCCTGTGAAGAATGATGATAGTTTGATATGAATGGCACTGAATCTGTAAATTGCTTTGGGTAGTATAGCCATTTTAATAATATTGATTCTTCCTGTTCATGAGCATGGGATGTTTTTCTATTTGTTTGTGTCTTCTCTGATTTCTCTGAGCAGTGTTTTATAATTCTCATGGTAGAGCTCTTTCACCTCCCTGGTTAGCTGTATTCCTGGTGGGTGGGTGGGTGGGGGTGTGTGTGTGTGTGTGTCAACTGTGAATAGGACTTTCTGTTTTGGCTCTCACTTTGGTTGTTGTTGGCGTATAGGAATCCTAGCCATTTCTGTACACTGATTTTGTGTCCTGCAACTTTGCTCAAGTTATTTATCAGCTGAAGGAGCTTTTGGGTCAAGACTATGGCATTTTCTAGATATAGAATCATGTCATCTGCAAAGAACAAGATAGTTTGACTTCCTCTCTTCCTATTTAGATGCCCTTTATTTCTTTATCTTGCCTGAACGCTGTGGCTAGGACTTCCAATGCTATGTTGAAGAGAAGTGGTGAGAAAGGGCATCCTTAACTTCTGCTGGTTTTCAAGGGGAATGCTTACAGCTTTTGCCCATTCAGTATAACATTGGCAGTGGGTTTGTCAGAGATGACTCTTATTATTTCAGATATGTCCCTTCAATATCTAGTTTGTTGCGAGTTTTTAACATGAAATAATGCTGAATTTTATCAAAAGCCTTGTGTGCATCTATTGAGATAATCACGTGGTTTTTGTCTTTAGTTCTGTTTATGTGAAGAATCACACTGATTGATTTTTGTATGCTGAAGCAATCTTGCATCTTAGCAAAGAAATCTACTTCATGGTGGATTCAATTTTCGATTTGCTGCTGGATTCAGTTTGCAAGCATTTTGTTAAGGATTTCTGCATCAATGTTCATCAAGGTTACTGGCCTGATGTTTTCTTTTTTTCTTCTGTTTCTGACAGGTTTTGGTATGAAGATGATGCTGGCCTCACAGAATGAATTGGGGAGAAGTCCCACCTACTCAGTTTTTCGGAACAGTAACAGTCAGAATGGTACCAACTCTTCATTGTACATCTGGTAGAATTCTGCTATGAATCCTTCAGGTCCTGGACTTTTTTGGTTGGTAGGCTATTTATTACTTACTTGGTTTTGGAGCTTGTTATTGGTCTGTTTAGGGAATTAACGTTTTCCTGGCTCAGTCCTGGGAGGGTGTAGTTTCCAGCAATTTAGAGGTATTCATAGTAGTTTCTGAAGGTTGTTTATTTCTGTGAGGTCAGTAGTAACATTCCCTTTGTCATTTCTAATTGTGTTTGGATCTTCTCTCTTTTTTTCTTAGTCTAGCTAGTGGCCTATCTTATCAATCTTTTCAGAAAACCAACTTCTGGATTTGCTGATATTTTGAATGGTTTTTTGCATCTCGGTTTCCTTCAGTTCAGCCCATATTTTTGTTATTTCTCATCTTCTGCTAGCTTTGGGGTTGATTTGTTCTTCCTTATCTAATTCTTTCCGTTGTAAAGTTAGGTTATTAAAGTGAGACCTTTCTAACTTTTTGATGTGGGCGTTTAGTGCCATGAATTTCCGTCTTAACACTGCTTTACTTGTGTCCCAGAGATTCTGGTATGTTGTATCTTCGTTCTCATTATTTTCAAAAAACTTTTTGAGGTCTGTCTTAATTTCATTATTTTACCCAAAAGTTATTCAGAAGCATGTTGTTTAATTTCCCTGTACTGTATGATATTGAGTGATTTTCATTGTGTTGATTTCTATTTTTATTGTGCCGTGGTCTGAGAGTGTGTTTGCTACGCTTTCAGTTCTGTTACACTTGTTGAAGACTGTTTTATGTTCAATTACGTGGCTGATTTTAGAGTATGTGCTACGTGAAGATGAGAAGAATGTATATTGTCTACACCTCATTTTAATTCTCTGATTCTTCTTACATTATTGCTCTTAACTGGAATATTCTCCCTAAAGTAGAGTCAGGTCACACATTCATTTTGAAGGTTTTTCTGACCAAGTCAATCCCCAGTGACCTACCTCATTTTCCTCTTGATTCCACACCACTTACAACTGGTAACACTGTATCCTCAAATGCATACACAAAGCAATTCCACCTTATTTCGTCATACTGAAAAACATGAAACTGTATATAGTTGTGCATGACCATCAACCCAAAACTAAGATCTTTATATTAACTTCTCAAAAGTCAGAAGAGGAATAATAGCCACATCACCAAAGAGAACAGTTTTAGCCAGCATAAGGAAGTCCCCTCTGCTTTAACCTTTACAAGAAAAACAACTTTGTAAAGACCAATCGCTTGTTTTCTGTTTCTGCTTTCCTCAGCCTTGGTCTATAAAATGAAGCATTGCCTGATTCTTGAATTGCAAATGAAAGTCAATTAAGACCTTTAAATTTGTTATAATTTTGTCTTTGACAGCCACAACCTATAATTCTTGCCTTAATCTCTTCTATCCCCTCAAAGACAAACTAATTGTTCCAAAACTATAAAGACCAAATATAATTTTGAGAACTCAGCCAAATTCTTAGGACAAAGAGGAAAAAGTGTACAAACAGAATTTTGCAGGATAAGTAACATCAAGAGTGAAGGAAAAGCATGCTCCTTCCTTTATCAACATCTGCCAGCTCACTAGCTTGACAGGATAGAGCCTCAACTACATCTTTATAACATTTAGCATAGCATCTTGAACACAGGTGGTACCAAATGTCTGTTAATAACAAACAAATGCCTTGAAGGAAGCTTCTCACAATGTATTCAGTAGTCCCCAAACCTTAAAAAATATCAGTCTTAAAGCAGGAAATGGATGAGGGAAAGGAAAAGTAACATGATAGCACATGCATTCACTTCTCAACAGAATATCAGAAGTACATGTTCTTACTGTGTTTTTTCAAGGTGACCTCTTAAAGCTGCCCTCTTATCTTTAAACACAGTACTTAATGACACTTCATTCTGTCAGAGAAAAAACGTTCAACATTAAGAGAAGCAAAAATTCAAACATGAAAGCCCACCTCCTCCTAAAATTCAAATTCCTATGTTTCTACAGGCAGCCTAGAGGAAATTAACACAATGAATCTTAAAAGTGAAGTATGTGAGGTAGGATAAGCAGCAGCTCTGCTTTAAAAAGATACAGGGCTGGCAGGGGCAGGAGACAAGTCTTTGCAGTTGAACTTCTGAAAGCAACAAAGACAACTGATCAACATAGCATAACAGCCAGATAGCACATATCAGCTGAAACCTGAGCTAGATCCTGACTGTAGGAGCCTAGGATCAATGAATTCAAAAGTGTCTCTTTCTGGTACTCTGCAAAGGCAAATTTAATCCCACAGCAAAAGAAAAAAAAATCCCACAAATTCCTTTCCCTGGCTTTGAAATAATATAAACATAATATACTTCTCATTTGTTTAGCTTCAGAACTACATATTTTCTCCTCTTCCTATTTAGTCACACTTATCTGGTAACTTGTCTTAGGTTTAGAGGCCAAGATACATACATATGTACGAGATCACTCAGAGTTGCTTATCCAATTTCCCTGGTAGCAATGCGGTTATCTCCAAACGTATCTTTATTTAAGCACGTTAAAAGCTTTTTTACTTGTTTAATTTGGGTCTGTTTAATAATTCCTACTTATTTGTAAAGATTCCTTTAAATTATGCCTTTTTTTCCCAGCCATTTATTGAACATTCAGTGGTTTAGATTAAGGAATTTAGAAATACAGTGAGTAATTCTTCACTTCAATATGCAAAAAAATTAAGGTGCAAAGAGAAAATAAACACCTAGAGGAGAATGTTTTCCAGAATTTACATTTGGTTATTTTGTCATCTGCTGCCTTCTTTGAATTCATATATACAGATGCTAATACTCCCACTTTAAACGTTCAACAAGGCATTTTTATTCTGCTTTTTGCAGAAGGCTGATCAGCATCAAGATTTCTTCCAGTCATGTATGATGAAGACAGCATTTGATTGAAGACAGCATTTGATTATCATTCTGAATGATTTCAACATATCAGGACAATTTCTCCCAGAGAATGCTTTGTTCAATAATATAAAGAAGCATCACCATTATTAAGAGTCAGAAAGCACTGAACCAGAGAAAGAAGTTACATACACACTTTGTCATCTGACAGAATCAACCAAATATATAAACAAGAATCCTGACATCTTAAAGATAAAGAAATCAGTAAACAAACAAAAGAAGTACCAAAGCACCACTCATCATCATACCATTCTCTCTGTCCATTATTATACAACTGGCCAATGATTTTAAACAGCTATCAAACTGGTAAATGCAAGGCTTTCAACTGCCTACAAGTAAGATAAACTGGTAACTTAAAAAATGATCTGCAATAAGGGCAGCTGACAATGCTAGGAACTCAAGGTGATTGCTAAACAAATTAAAGAGGCTTCATGGGATATACAGAACATAAATCATTCTTAGGAAAAATTAACTTTCAGAAGACTTTGAAAAAGAAAATGATATTTACATGTATACTTTCCTATTTTTATTTCTCTTTTAAAATATGACTTACATCCACAAATATTAACTGGATTGAATCTGCGTAAGAGATAGCTTAAAATCCTCATTTACCTCTTCAAATTTCTCTAGTTCACCAATTCACAGTAACTTCAGAAAAGCATAGGGAGTGCTAATTTAAAAATTCACTCTTCTGTCACAGTGTAAAACAGCTGGTAGTATAGGAAATCAGACTGGTTTGATTGTTTATGTGACTTTTTCAAGGATTTTTATTGACAATTTCAGGTGCTGCTCATAATCTTCTGTCCACAAAACTAGTATTACATCTCAAAACCTCAGATGCAAAATATTAAACAGCAATGTATCCCTCAAGATGGGAAGCATAACTTACTTCAAGCTGAAAAAGTTCTCCAGCTCCCTCACAGTCATTGGATGTGATTATTGGAGTATGAATATGCACAAAGCCACTGTCCTGAAAAAGAAAACCACAGTTTTCAGTATATTTGCATATTCAACAATTCCAAGAACACACAGCTTCTTATACTACGTATTAAAATGGCACACTAAGCAAATGCTGTTTTATTTCAAAGATAAAGAAATTGAGGCCCAGACAGATTTAATGACTTCCCAAAGTCACACAATTAGTCAGTGGCTGAGCCAGGACTAGAACCTAGGTCTTTATGGTCTTTAGTACTTTATTCTCTTTCCATATCTCCAACACTTTGGTGGTGATTCAACAAACATGTATACACACTGTAGGATAATGTATAATGATGCTGCCCATGCTGCTAGGGGATTACAAAGCAATCAGTATAAACTTATCAAATAAGACCTCAATTGTAATGAACACCAAAAAAGGAGAAAAATTAAGGTAGACAAATAGAGACTGAATAAACAAAGAGCAAAAAAAAAAAAAATGCAGAAATGATCTTTACGAGGTCTCTGTCATTAAACTGATGGCACAATGAACTCCACATGGCACAGGCAGTGTACTTCCTTTGCCTGAAGGAATATTATGAGCAGCAACAAATCCATCCATTACTAGGTTCCTAATTGCAGCCCTTCTGAACAAAAGTCTGAGACTATTTCATTAGTGAACCACAAAAGCTGTTGCTAGTAGGATTGAAATAACCCAGCAACTTCAAGGTTATGCGTCTTTCATTTTGACTATGGATGTAAGCAAAAGATTACACACAATGTAGATGTTTGCAGGGCGGGACTGCAGGTAATAAAAAATGACTTTGTAATAGAAAGGTAGAATAGTATGTGCTTAATGCAAAATTTTGGCCTTGAAATCAGTACAATAAATTCTTATGCACATATTTCTGTCAAGTTTGGTGGAATGAAGATTGTCTCTATGCATTACTAGGGGCCTCCCAAATATGACCCTTCTTGAATTCAAGTGTTATGGCTACAATACAAAGTATTCAGCCAACAACTTGCCTTACGATGTGGTAAATATTCAAGCTCTAAATTAACAGTCTCAGAAAGTATTAAAATATATACTTAATCTGACAGCAACATGCCTAGAAGTGCTGCACAGTGCACATTATAGAAAACCAATGAAATATCAATAACATTATTGCATACCATTTTTATCTCCTAGGAGCCAAGAATTATGGACATGAAACATTTATTCCACATGAATGTAGGCAACTATGAACATGGGTGCAGTAAACAAAGAAAGGAAGTGAAAAATCCAAAGGAAATGAGGGTAGGGAAAGGGAGGTGGAGAGGGAGGAGAAAATTTAATGGCTAAACCTGATTGCCAAAGTTAGAACTGGTCAAATGCCACAAGAAACAGCACTGTAAATCTCATGAAAATAACTGTATGAGTTTTTTATTTAAATCACACACCTATTGGGAATTATTTTTAACACTTAACTAACGCTAAATCTCACAAAAGGGTCCAGCAGCTTTCTTTGCTTTAAAACTGCTAGCAAGGCTTATCAAAGTTCCTAACATTACCAAAAGCTAATAAAGGAGAGAGTACAAAGGAAGAATAATACAGCCGTGCAAACAAAGTCCAAAAAAGTCAAAGTGGGTAGGGGAGTAAAACGAAAAAAAGGAAAGTAAATAGCAAGGAGTGGTGAAGTACTGTATCTGCCTCAAAGAGGTTTCCAGTGTCACATACTTATACCATCCCAAAGCAAAGGGATTCCTAAATAGAGACATGAAGGCCAGAGAAGGGGCCAAAAATAAAAGCAAACACTTTCATCCAGTTTTTCAGATTCCACCCATCACCTCCAAATATTTAAATATTTTCATACACATTCTAAAACCAGATATTTTATAAGGCCCTGAGTATCCCAAAATTATAAAATTCATACATTCAGGCCCATATACACCATTAAGAGAAGACTAATAGACTATCTTTTTCTTTCACAAGTAACTGAAATAACTATCATTTAATCAGAATCAACAAAAAAGGAAACGTGAAAGGAAGTGCTAGTCACAGGCAGGCCACAGGCAACACAAAGTGACAGCAAGAAGAGATTTTAAGAATTCATTAAGAGGCTGGGTACGGTGGCTCATGTTTATAATCCCAGCACTTTGGAAGGCCAAAGTGGGCAAATCAACTAAGGTCAGGAGTTCGAGATCAGCCTGATCGACATGGTGAAAGCTCATCTCTACTAAAAAATATAAAAATTAGCTAGGTGTGGTAGTGCACACCTGTAGTCCCAGTTATTCGGGAGGCTGAGGCGGAGGTGGCAATGAGCTGAGATTGCGCCACTGCACTCTAGCCTGGGCAACACAGCCAGACTCTGTCTCAAAAAAACAAAAAACAAAGAGCAGTCACAGGAACTCAAAGGCATAGCAATCTGGAGACATTGTACACAAAGGTAAAGAATACTGGGCACAGTGGCTCACATCTGGACCCTAGCACTTTGGTTGATCCAGGCAGGAGGACTGCTTGGGCCTAGGAGTTCAAGACCAGCTTGGGCAACACAGTGAGATCCCATCTCTACAAAAAATAAATTTAAAACAACTAGCCACGCACAGTGGCGCATGCCTATAGTGTCAGCTACTTGGGAAGCTGAGGTAGGAGGATCGCTTGGGACTGGGAGATTGAGGTGGCAGTAAGCCATGACTGCACCACTGCAGTGCAGCCCGGCAACAGTGTAAGACCTCGTCTCAAAACAAACAAAAAATATTCCACATAGTCAGTGACAGGCTTTAAAACACTGCCATACAGAGGAGAACATTCCTGATACTCACAGGAAGAACCTCAATTCATTGAGAAAGGGCAGAATCTTTTCTACTTGGCTCACTAAGGAAGACAGGAAAATAAGTAATCCATTTTAGGAACACTTCCACTGGAATTTAGAAAAAAACTGGTGCCTAAAGAGAAAATTCCTCAGATGTTTCAGAAACTTGGCTTTTCCAAATGATTCATTCCTTGAGGATTCTAAATAGCCAAGTTTTAGTACACAACAAGTGTGTCAATTTTATGAGCAAACAAGGTTATACACAAAATATTTTTCATACTGAAACCAAGAAATAGCCTTAGGTCCTTAAAGTGTCCTAAAAGTACTGTTCAAGTTTCTATTTTTCCCCCACATTTCTATATTTTTATTAACAAAATTGAAACTTAAGAAAATTTTATATTTGGAAGCTTAACATCTTTTAGCAAACCTAAAGTAACAGATCAAAGAAACAGATACAAAACATTAGTAACATATAACTATTACATAATATGCCTTATAGTACTCCAGTAAGGCTTCTTTAAATAACTGAATCCTAAGGATCATACATAAAGGTACATAATTATCACATATAAAGGTAAGTAACCTAGAATGAGGTAACAGGATTATATTCTCCAGGTCTTTACAATTACTAAGTGAATTTACTGCTACTCAAAAAGTGTCTACCTTCGTAACTACTCTATCATGAACGGTGCTAAAATTCAAGTTATTTCCAACCACTTGAATGTTTTTCTAATTTTACTTTTAATAATTTTTGGCCAGGTGCGGTGGGTCACACCTGTAATCCCAGCACTTTGGGAGGCTGAGGCGGGTGGATCACCTGAGGTCAGGAGTTTTAGACCAGCCTGGCTAACATAGTGAAACCCTGTCTCTACTAAAAATAAAAAAATTAGCTGGGTGTGGTAGCGTGCACCTGTAGTCCCAGCTACTTGGGAGGCTGCAGGAGAGGAATCACTTGGACCCGGGAGGCAGAGGTTGTAGTCAGCCAAGATCACGCCACTGCACTCTCAGCCTGGGTGACAGAGCAAGGCTCCATCTCAAAACAATAATAATTTTTTTTTTAAGTCAGGATCTCACTCTGCTGCCCAGGCTGGAGTTCAGTGGTGCAAACATGGTTCACTGCAGCCTCCACCTCCTTGGCTCAAGTGATCCTCCTGCCTCAGCCTCCTGAGTAGCTAGGACTACAGGCACATGCCATGATGCCTGGCTAATTTTATTTTTATTTTTACTAGAGACCAAGTCTCACTATGTGCCTGGGCTGGTCTCTAACTCCTGGGTTCAATGGATCTTCCTGCCTTAGCCTCCCAAAATGCTGGTATTATAGACATGAGCCATTGCTCCCTGTCTACTTAATTTTTTTATTTCAAATTTTTGTAGCTTGTCTTATTTTTTAACTGTTTACATATCTCTAAAAGCTTCAAGTAATAAATGGAGTGTGTAAAGTGTACTTGTCAATACCACCACCTAGTGGCCAAAAGTCTACAAAACCTTCAAACTAAAGTAGGTATACTTCATCAGCTGTTGAAGCCATGTGGTTAAAAAAAA